ACTTTAATTTGTCTATTTTTAATGCGTTGCTCAAAGTGTGCATTTAAATTTAATTTACATGAATATTTTCTTGGAAATGAAGAAAAGTTCTTTTTATTTCCACTTTAAGCACGGTTTTGATGTACGAAAACTGGCACTTTAGTCATGGCCGTGACTAAAGTAAAATTTTAATATAAAAAGTTCAAATTAAAAATTATAAACGTGGAAATATATTAGAAGTAGAAAACGTTACTAAAGTGTTGTTTAGCGCACTTGATATTTAATATACTATTACCGCTCGAGAGCTTTAATAATTTCATATTTTATTGTTTGGAAAATTGTGTTCTCAACTGTGCGAGTAGATAAAATATAAAATCATAAATTTTCATTCAAGTTCTCACTTCAAACAAATAATTCGCTCACAAAACGGAAATTGAATCAAACTGAAAGTGCTCAACGTGCAGCTGATTGCAAACACATTGTGTCCGAAAAGGTCGCAACGAATCTCGTTTATTGAAAAATGAGCCCGTCGTGCGCGCTCTTTGTGCACTTGTTGTGCGCAGTTTAAAGCGAAGGAAGTGACGGGTGGAACAGCTCCCGGACCGTTATTGAAAAGGGGGCAATACTCGAAAACTGTCACTCGTAAAACACTCCACGGCCTTCTTCAGCTTCCCTCGTTTCCTCCACGAGAAGAAAGCCTGAAAATAGTCGCCGCACACATGGCGCAGGGCAATCGAAAAGATTTTGTAATTTATTTACGTCCGGACGTACATTTCCAGGTTTCAACTTGGCGTAGGGTAGGGACCGATGACAAAAAGCAATATACTGATGAAAAACGAAAATAAAGTGGCGCCAGAGATGTTTTAATTATATCCATAAATATTTATTTAATGAATAATGAGTAGTAAAAGATGTAAATACAACCGAAGTTTCTTTCGGATGGGAACTGCGCAAACATTTTCGATTTGTGGCAGGCTGACAGACGCCGACATGCCGAGGCGCAGTTTGGTTAAGTGCGTTTTAATGTCGTTTGGGGCGACGTATCAGTTTTCAAAAAATAAAAAAAGGAAACATGCACTTTAAACTATGCTACGTTTACAAACCAAGCGAAAACAACTCATTTTGTTTATCGCGACTTCATTATTTGCTGATTTAATGCGTTATTAGTCACATTATTAATGACTTTATTTTTTATGGAAATTTTTATTGATAAACACGAAATAATTGAGTCAACGTTGTGATTTTTTATGTTTTAGGCTTTGCTCGATACTTGTACGAAAAGTCAAAACATACTTTTATAAAAATTTATCATTTTTATTAGTGTTTAATAAAAATGTAATTCGTTTTTACTCTCTTGTTCTAGACATAGTATGTCTCAATTCTATCAATAAGATTCGTAATTTTATTTTAAAGAAATTAATTATATAAAGAATTGCTAATAATGCACTTCAGCGCGCCATCTCGGATTCAACTATTTAACTATAACTATGATTGAATCTCAATGCCAACTTTTATCCTATAGAAAAGGGCTGTCTTTAGGGTTTTCCCGGCAATTATTCGAATTTTTCTCGCCGTAAAAACCATCCTTGGATTTTAACGAACATTTAGAAAAAAGAATTGACCAAATTGGTCTAGGCGTTGATTAGTTATGCGCTTGCCAACACATTTTGCGATAAATTTTTATATTAAACAAAAACCGAATTAATTTCAAATATTTCTTATGCCAATGTAAAATAAATGATTACACATAAAATTATAATTTAATTAGCGCGCGATTAATATCAGCCTCGCGTGAGGCGCGCTACACATTGCAAAATCAACATTATTAGTATTAATATGATTAAAATGATTAATTGGCGCGACGCGGTCGATCTTGTTTGCACGGCGCACGTGTTTGTGTACGCTATACCTGTGAAAACAATCTCAGTAACTCAGTATCAAGCCATCCACTCATGAATTACACCCAACGAATTAATTATTACGATTGCGGTGTTTCAACATATCAGTAAACCTTAATTGCAAATTACATTAATATAAATTCGACATAATTTATTGATGTCTACCTACGTGTGACTGTAAAGTGTATATTTTTAATTTTAACCGATTGGGAACAATCTGTATGTTGGTGTCAATGTATTGAGAACATTTACGAGCGTGCGAACATATGAGTACGTAATAATGGCTATTCTTGTGTACATATTTGTTGTGTGTTTAGTGACGTGTTAATTTATTGGTTATGATGAAATCCTCTGTGACAACACTTCGAAACGACTATTATTTGACCATTAAATGTTTTAGGCGTCATTAAATATTTGATTTTGTAATAAATTTGAGTTGTAAAGTGGTATTTTTTTATATTTTAAAATATTTTTCATTGAAATATGTTTTTGGGTCATTTTGATATGAATTTTCTAAGTGAAATTGTGATTAACAAATTTACGAAATTTCATCCCTAATTTTACGCCCTTAAAATGTATATTTTGGGGAAAAAAGTAGCTTATGTCTTTTTTCACGATACAATTTATCTGTATACAAAAATTCATCAAATTTCGTTCAGAGGTTTAGACGAGAAATGAAAACAAACATACATAATTCTTTTCAACTTTATATTTTTGCCACAAAAAGTTACCTATTTTATTTTCCTTTGTTCAAAAATATCTCTATACCAAAGTATATCAAAATCAATTCAATAGTTTTTCATTGAAAGCGTAACAAGCAAACAAAAAAACTAATATTTGCATTTATTTCACTAATTACCATTTTTTAAATAATTTTCTTCAACAATTATCACTCAAAATTGTGATTTCATGAATTATGTTGACAATGATGACAATTGAAAGCCTTTTAGCCACCGAAACACAATAATATGCTCCGTGGCTGGACGACAAACAATTCGCGTGCCGCGTCGTGTTGATTTTTATCACGACATATCAATTACGAGCCCGCCGTGGCGCGGCGCACACGCGCACCGTTTTCAGCAATCGCGCAATTACAACAATTACGACATAAAAGTCGACACGTAACGCCATAACTCATGCGCTACCAACAACCAACGAGTAATGATATTAATACATTCATATACTTACTATTATTATACCCATTCATTCATTCCTCGTAGTATTATAACAAAATTGTTACTGCACATACTTAGAAAAAGAGTGCCGACAGACGGAAGACTGAAAATAATTGGCGTGTGTTCGTGTATTTATAATTACACACTTTGTTAATTAAAATAATCGGCGTGCCGCTTTATTTAATGGACTCGACTTGGACGCACACGCAGCCCAGGGATGAATTAATAATGTACACAATTTGTAATTTCCACGTGTGCTTCGTCCTGAAATGGGCTAGGAGGGGGAAGGGGGGAAGGGTATCTAATCCGAGAAATATATTTATGCGTGTAGCATGTGTTCACGCAATGTTTTCTCGTTGGAATTACATTAGATGTAATAATATTTATGTTATCACCTGGATATTTTAAAAGTTGAATACTACAATGGCGCAAAATGGAAACAAAGCTAAGAAACGAATTTCTTCTTCACGTGTGTGTGTCAAACGTGCAAACTGCAGCGGCGATTATTTTGTGCATCGTGCATCACGCGTAAAGACCTATTGTGCTCGAATTGTGGCGAATGTGCTGATTAACCATTGTTGCAACGACGGATTGCGCATTATTGCGCTCACCGCAATGCACACGATGCATAGATTACTATTATCGGGTGCTTCATGCAGCTAGCAAAATGTAGAACGACTGTAGGACGACTGTCTAGGAAAAGCAAATCAATAAACAGTTATTTGTGTTTTTAACGTGAATAATTTACGAATTTTGGGGAATATTGTTAAGAAAATTTATAAAAATTATAATGTAGGGTAGAATTTTTATTTTGGAAGTGCTAAAGTGAGGTTAAAACTTATTTTTCATGAAAAATTTGAGGTTTGTACAATATATTTGGTACAAGTGAAGAATACCGGTCTAACACTGATTACATTACGTAATTTTTGATTTGTTGTTGAATAAAATCAAAACTATTAACGTTAGCACTATCATTCTTTTAGAAATCTATTCTGTATTAAATTCTGAACTTATTAAGACAAAAATTTTGTTAATTTTGTATTTTGGAAAAAAGTTACAGGCTGGTAAACTTAATAATTGGTAATATTTTTAATTTCAATTAATTTTGCTCATAACTTTTGATTAAAATTTATTTTTAAAAACTTCTTCGCATTAATTGATGCGCAATTTATCTCTGAATAGATTGATGTTTGAATTTTGTTTTTATCTTTTACCATTTTTGAGTTATTTATCAATAACTCCCAACTTTCATGTTTTTGCCAGTTTTAGACCGTCACTTATACCTTGCAGAAAATATCCTCCACCATTACTCAACAAACAAACCGAAACAAAACACAAACAAAGCAGACATTGTAGATTATTCCAGAATATTCCGACAGCTCCTGCAACAAAATCGCTGAAAAGACACGTTCCACCGTTCGGATGTGTACAAATGCGTTTCTCTGCGCGCTGTTTTCACAATGTTTCAGACGCACTGCGCGCTCGCTTCCTAGATCTACGAGTATATACACCTCGAAGAAACGTTTCATTGAAAATTTATTTACGGCGATTTCTTACTTCGTTTTGTCGCTGCGTCGGTTTTTTCCAAATGTCACCGACACCGTTCGAAGACTCACAAGTCTCTCACAAAGCTCTACATCCTACAAACATTTACTCGCCGCTTTTATTCCGCCACTCGTCGCCTGAATACTCGATACAAATACAAATGGCTGCGCGGGCATACTCACGAGAGGCGAGAAAATGAAATAAATGTTTGAGAAACAAAAGTGACAAAAACAGATAAACACGAAAAACATCCGCGACGTGGAAAAATGTTGCACTCCAACATCTTCGAATAACAAATTCAACGACGTGATTGATTAGTTTCAACTCTTTTTTGTGTTTATCATGTTCGTCAATCTGTTATTTTAATATTAAGCATTTATTTTGGATTTTTTTTCTGTTACAGCGTTGGGAATCAGTGTGAAATGTGATGTGACAAACGTCTTGAGATACGAACACCCCTGGAGCGGAGTCACGCCATCATCCCTTCACGATGTCGACCGGAATATCTCTGGCGAGCGCTTTTTTGCTCCTGCTGCGATTCACAGCCTTCGTTGAGGCCAATCTAGGTGAGTATTTAATATTTTAAACTAACTTTTGCCCGCGTCTTCGTCCCGATAGTGTTTAATAAAAATCTTATTCGTTTTTACTCTCTTGTTCTAGACATAGTATGTGTCAATTCTATCAATAAGATTTGCAATTTTATTTTAAAGAAATTAATTATATAAAGAATTGCTAATAATGCACTTCAGCGCGCCATCTCGGATTCAACTATTTAACTATAACTATGATTGAATCTCAATGCCAACTTTTATCCTATAGAAAAAGGCTGTTTTAGGGTTTTCCCGGCAATTATTCGAATTTTTCTCGCCGTAAAAACCATCCTTGGACTTTAACGAACATTTAAAAAAGAATTGACCAAATTGGTTTAGGCGTTGTTGAGTTATGCGCTTACCAACAGATTTTGCGATTCATTTTTATATTATTGATTAATATCGTTTATAAATCAGAAAATTAAATATTGATGCGTTTACTGTTAGTTTAGTGCGTGTCGCACGCACCAATTCAGTTAATTACTCACATAAAACATTCATAGATTTCATAGGAATGATATTTCGATAAAAACTTGATTGGCCGACAATCAGACAATCGGACGATGGTGTGTTTATCTACGTTTATCACAATTTCAGAAGTCTAATTGACTTTTATTGTGGTCGGAGTGGATGTTCTGACAAACAGACAAAAGTAAACTAATAACAATCGAAAAGTTCAATTACAAACCGAAAATTTTGTTTCGATGCCGAGCGGAAGCTCTCATTGTTTATTCCATTAATATTTAAGTTGCTAGTATTCAACTACATTCAACTACACGCAAGACTTTTATTTTTAGGTTAGAATTGTTGTCCAAATAAAAATAGATATTCTAAGATGAGGAAATGTTTATATTTAGTGTGAAAAACGTTAGAAAGGTGTAAATTGCCGGAAATGTTTGATTTTTTAGTGATATTTATTATGTAAACATTTTAAAAGCTCATATTTAACACCAAAAATTGATTTTTGTTTGTTTTGGTCAGGTTTTTGTTTTCACATCATGCCTAACCGCAAAAAATCGAGACAATTAATCTTCGGCTAACATTTTTCATCCAGATTTTGCTTTCATTTCCGCTTTCCGCTTCAAATTTAGCGTGTAGCTGTGTATTGCATATCGTATCTGCATATCGATTATGCAATTTGTGAAAATTTCTCCCAAAAAAACACACGAAAAATTACCTTTTGTTCTTTTTGTTGGATTTTTTGGTTGTTGGTTGTGCGCGTGCTTAATGACTTGACATCGATACGTCCCCGAAGCACACTGAAAGCTTTGGATGAATGAGCACCTGATGTTAACCGGTGACAATGAAGAATTGCGGAATTACAATTTACGAAATTACAAAAAGTTTACTTTGCCCGCTGCTGCAAAGGCTTAAAGCTCAAAGCGCACACGCCAGGTATCTGTATCGAATTTCTAGCGCAAGTGCGTTTAAGTTTGTTGGAAAGCTCGGGGAGGTGATAAATTATTCGGGCGCGGTGGCAGCAATCGAACCAAAGTCCAATTAAAGCGTCGTTTAATTTATGCTGTGCCTGCTTGGAAATTATCTACGGATATTAAAAAGTTTTTCATCAAATTTCAACTTCTTTCACAACTATCCACGCTGTTGATATTTATCAATATTTTTCCTTTAATGAATTTTTGTTTTGTTTAACAGATAGCTTTTTAATTAATACGAGAAATTATCTCGTTCGTCACGCTCGTTTACATCTCGTTTATTAACGATTCGGGCCGGCCGTTTTAACACAGTAACATTGTAACATTAATTCCAGGCATGATGATACCGAAGGCAAGATACGATGTTAAATATCGCGGCGCGTTCGTTAGGCAGATCTACGAGTAACAATTATTAATGATGCGTGTCGGCTGGGAATCGCTGAGCGCGCTTTTAAATAAAAAATGATTAATGCCGGCGCTCTAATCGCTGCTCTTGCAACCGACCGGCGTGTTCGCATGAAATTTCTAAACAAATACGCATTGAGATACGTTCAGGTGCATGTTCTCGACTTCTCGGACTTGTTGATTTATTCTAATGATCAATCATTAGTTATTTATGCAATGGAAATTTTCATTCTTGTTTCTCAATTGATGTGAAGTGGTTTTTTCGGTTTACCTGTGGAGGAAATAAGGAGATTTTGCGGTTTTTGCGTGATAAAAACTTAATTTTATGTTTTTAATGCGGTGCAGAGAGTTTTGTAGTGTTTACGCTTTATGGTTTATAAGTGCTTCAATGGTAACCACTTCATGGTTTACTAGTTTGGCGGCATTCTCGGCGCTCTCAAGCTTGGTTGCACATTTTATGTACGTTCGGTCGCGTTCGCGGTTGCAATTTAACGTCAAATGATTTGTTGACGTCGTGATTGCGCGCATTTTACGAGTTTAAGTAGCGAATAAACTTCGAAAGTCAGCCGGGATCTTATAAATCACTATTAAATTAGTAATGGGAATTTTTTACCTAAATATCGGTATACCGGTTTTTATATATCAAAATATCGGTATACCGGTTTTTATATATCAAAATACCGGTATATCCGTAATACCGATTTTTATTAAATGGGAATAAGTAAATTTGTTTTTTGGTATTATGATCGGGATATCGGTATTCCGGTATTTTTATTTGAAATACCGGTATTTTTCTGAAAACCTGGTATTTTTGCTTCAAATACCGGTATTTCTCTCTAAAAACCGGTATACCGGTAGTGATACCGATATTTTGCTCAACTAACATGAGTTAAAATTTAATTTAATTTTTTCTTGTAAAGAAAATTGGATAAAATTTATCTTTAGAATTTTGGGATGTTATTGACATGGTTGCAGTTGGTAACAAAAGCTTGCACATCAAAATCAGCTTTTGAGTGTCCGACTATTGGCTATCTCCTATCTGGCCAACTATCAGCTTTTAGCTTTCAGCGATCCGATGAGTTTTCAGCAATTGTCCGAGTTTTTGTGCAATTTTCTCGATGGAAAATCGATGCTTCAGTGCAGAAAGCTTATCGCGGCACAAATATGAATGGCGGACATAACAATAACAGCCCAGATAAATGAAATTCGCTCTCTCGACAATTACAAACTAGAATTGTACCCACCGCTTATTGCATTGTCGTCGTCGACATTCCGCATCGCACACAATATTTATGATATTTTGAGGGTCTTGGCCGAAACAAAACCTCGCTTTCGAATTCCGAAAATTTCAATTATCAGGTGTTGTGGCTACGTGTGAGAGGTTGAGGGGAGTTTCTAACCCTTTTTGGATGGTTAGTGTTAGTGTGCTGGAATGCACCTACCCCATGTCGCCATTGTTTGAAGCAATTCATTATCGAATTATGAAAGATGATGACATCGGTCCACTGGAATATGAGGGTCCCCATGTCGGCTGTGTTTGCATTTCAAACTCCCATCTCTCCTTACCCCTGTGCAGTGTGGAGAGTGGAGTCATCTTTTCCGCTGGTTATTGACTAATTGAAATTTCCCATTTCCATGCCATAGATACACTAATGGCATTTCGGTGTAAATCCTCCTCTCAATTTCATTCATTCATTCATTCGAAAACATCAAAACTAAAGCAAACAATCATATTTCCACCAAGGAGTTGGGTGTTTGGTGTTGGGTATTGGTTATGGTTCAGGTCCAAGTTTTGTCGGATGTACGAGAAGCGAGAGGGAGTGCTTTTTGCTTTGTATCGAGGGAGTCATCAGTCACTTATTGAGCGGCAGACAGGCGAGACGCCAGCCTTCGACCTCTATCTCGACGGTTTTTATAAATGGTCCGTGTCCTGTTCGACGACGATGTCTGTCTCATGGTGGGCCCTTCGGGGACACGAAAAAACGCCAACATGTGACATAAACACGCTTAATAACGACATCAATGGGCGCACACCGACGTCTGGTGTCCCGATGTGTACGAAAACAACAAAAACGCAAGCTTGTGTCATGTTGGCGTGTGGGATGAATAAAAGTCATGCGATGATCGATTAGAAACAGTCAGATTTATTAATAATCACTAGAGGAATAAAAATAATTCAATTTTTTTTTAATTTTAAGTATCTAATGTGCTAAATGACACTTTAATCACGTTTAGCTTTATTTTTTCAAATTTCCACGTTTAGGTTTTTGTATATGTACTTTAGTCACGGCCGTGACTAAAGGAATAAAAATAATTCAAAAGTTTTTATAATATTATGTATCTAGTGTGATAAACGACACTTTAATCACGTTTTGCGTTTTTTTTTTCAACTTCAACGTTTAAATTTGTGTATAAGTACTTTAGTCACGGCCGTGACTAAAATGCCACTTTTCTCAAATTTCAAAACCATGAAAAAAGTGCTGCTTTAAAATTAAAAGGAAAAAACGTGCTTTTTGTGTAAATTTCATTAAAGTTGTAATTTAATATCGTCGATAAACAATTAAAACTTTTGTAAACCAGGCGAAACATGATACCAACGGGTTGCTTTTACAGCTCCCTATTATTATGCGCACAAACCACAAACATTCAGATGTTGTGAATTTTACAGCAAAAAAATTAATGGAGTGTTAAAAAAATCCTCGCGGCTATCATTTCGCACATTACGCTGCTAATAAGTTATTTTCGAAGCATTTAAAATCATAAATTTATTATCTGTTTGGCGTTTTGCGTTTCGGTTGGGGTTACTGCTGCTTCTTAGGAAGTCAGCAATGCGAATTTAAATTGACCATCACGAATTGCATGCAGCCGCAACCCGCCGGCGAATTCTTCTTCGTGGTCTTGAATCTTGGGTTCGACTCTTGGCTTCGAATGAAAACGTATTCATTAAAAGCGCGATTGCGATACCAGCGATAAACACTGGGAGCCGGTGCCCATGCTGGAAATGAGCGCCCTCGAGCGAAAGCACAATCTCTACGCGCGCAGAAGAACTCAGCAAGCCGAAGCACACGGCTTGAAAGTTAATGGAAGAAATCACAATCACAACGTATTGCCGGCCGTAAATTAAGCGCGTCGGGCGAT